TCAGCCTTTATTCCCAAAGGTGACTTCAATGAGGATGGAAGGTCCATGGCCACTAGGGTTAAATTGCTCGAGCAGCAAGACCCTGACTAGCCCTGGGGATGTGTGGGCACACATATCATGGCGATGGACAGTTCCAGAGGTCTGAAGAAGATATTTGAACTTTTGTTACTAATAAAGAAGGGTCAGGTTATCTGGTTTACACTCAAGATCTAATTGGTTCATCATTTTCATGAAATAAACTTTCTTCTGAGTAAGGAAATTTCATCATGAGACTTGAGATGAACTGGTTGGAAAAATTTCCTTGGTTTTTCCCAGGTTTGAAGTCCCCGACCTCACGGTAGGCTGAGGCAGGCTGGAGGCAGATGCGCTGGCCTTGGGTACAGAAAGAAGCTGGTAATGCAGCCCTGTTTCATCCTGGCTGTGCATTCATCTCTACATTGGTCTGTGTCTGTGAGGTTTTTGTTTTGCAGAAACAGCGTCCTGGTTTCATTTAGCATGGATTTTTTTCTTCCATAGTGTCTTCCATCTGCCCTGATGCCACCTGCCATTTCCTCACAAGCCTGAAAATGCTACAGTAGAGGCCGTGAACTTCTCCTCCCTGTGTTGCTGTGGTCACTCTGCATCAATCCTGCCTCCCCACCCACAGAAGTGCGGCAGCCTGCTAGGCTGGGAGGAGGCTGCACTCAAGTCTTGCTGAGCCCCTAATTGCTATTTTACAGTGCACTCCTACTTAGAAACAAAACTTGGCTGTAAAACAGTGCTGTGTGCACCAGCAGTGGTCCCAACCACCTCGTGCTTACTGTGTCTCTTGCTGGCAACAAGAGAGGTCACATCTACTTGTGTCAATGCACATTGTGTCCCCACAATGAAATTGCCTAAGGATTCACTTCACAGAACATATCCCTGGCATAGATATATTCATGTTTCTATTCTACTATTGGGTAAATATTTACTTAAAAGAAATGCTTTATTTGTACCAACTTTATTCACAATAGCCAAACACTTGAGACAACCCATTATGTTTTGGATCAAGAATGAAACACCACCAACTCAAAAAAACACTCATCCACTCAGAGGCTGGGCTTTTGGAAGGTGACTGAATCATGGGGGTGCTGCAGCTGACTTGCTGTTAGGAGATGGAGCCTGGTTAGGGGCAGTCATGGGGCATGACCAGGAAGTGTTCATCTCTTTCCCTGGCTCCTCCTTTGCTCTGCTTCCTGGCCACCATGATGTCAGCAGCTTTCCCTCCACCATGCCCCTCTGCTAGGCTGTTTCTTCCTTGGAGGCAGCTGACCATGGACTGTAACCGTGAGCCAAAATAAACTTCCTCTCCTTCAAGCTGTGGTGTTGGGATTGTGTCTTGGCAATGAGAAAGTGACTAAAACATAACCTAAATGTCCATTAGCAAATGAGTGGATAAACAAAACTATGATATATCCATACATGGAATACTACTAAGCAATAAAAAGAGTAAACTATTGATACACAGAACATAGGGTCATACCCAAGATATTGTTTGAGTGAAAAAAGCCAGACACAAGAGTGAAATATTGAGTCCATTTATACGAAATTATTGAACAACCAAAAATAAATCTAGTGACAAGAAGTACAACTGAGGTTTTCTAGGGTTTGGGGTGGGAGGGAACTGACTGCAGGGAAACATGAGGGAACTTTCTTGGTGACAGAAATATTCCATGTCTTGAGTGAGATGATAATTATGTAGAACTAAATATTTTTCAAAACTCAACTTGTAAAATATGTTTATTGTATCATATGTAAATTTTAATGCAATAACTGATTTTTAAAGGAATAGACTCAACTGGCACAGCAAGTGTCCTTACCCCTTTTGTTTGTTTGGGGTTTTTTTTTTTTTTTTGGTACCAGGGATCAAACTCGGGACCTTGCACTTGCAAGCCTTGTGCTTGCAAGACAGAACCACTGAGCTAAATCCCCAGCCCTCCTTACCCCTTTTGTTCCTTAATTGCTAGCATGATGGCTGGAAGCACAGCAGCCACGTTGTGACAATAAGACAACATGCATGAGGACAAATACTGAAACAGTAGAGGAAAATGTCAAAAGAGCCTGGTGTCAGAGGCCATTGTTGAGCTTCCACACCAGCCCTAGAATTTCCAATCCTGGATGTCCAGAGCTTTTGTTGCCACGGTAGTTGGCTTTTTTATCAACAATATTAATTCCTAAGCAAAACACAAACTCCTCCAGATTATTTCCATGCCATCTTCATTTTTCATCAACTGAGAATAGATGCCTCCTTCTCCTAGCACTCACAGCCAAGCATTCACCCACACAATCTTTAAACATACACTTTACAATGGGGCCAAAAGGATGTTAATTATCTAGCTCTCTAAGGATACTGTAGTTACCCTCGTCAAGATGGTATCATGGTGTGCTCCAAAGAGTGAACAGCATGAAAAATGGCAGAGAGGCTGGGGATGTAGCTCCATGGCAGAGCACTTGCCTAGCATGTGCAAAGCCCTGTGTTCTATCTTCAACACCGAAAAAGGAGGGGGCAGAGAAGCCTTGAGGGATAAGAAGATGGAAAAAAGATCCATAGCAGGGATAGGTGAGAATGGGCCCAGATAGGTGGGTAGAAGCCAGTGTATTTAAGGTTTCCACGTATTATAATATCCAATGTCATAATCCAGTGTGGTTACAAAATACGTGAATGTTTAAACTTTTAAAAATCGATTATAGTAAAAAACGCATTACCATAAATGCTCTCAGAATGCTCCTCCTCTCTTTAAGCACACTGATTTCATCATTTTTGCCACTTTCTGAAGCAGGTCTGGGGTCTTTTTTCATAAATGTCTTCAGTTGTGCTCTTGTGGCTGTCCCAATGTCCTGGATTTGAAACGTTTCCCCTTCATGGTCATTTTGACTTTGGAGAAGAGCCAGAAGTCACACAGTGCCATGTTTGGTGAATAAGGTGGATGAGGATGCACCATAATTTTATTTGACAGGAATTTCCATAAAAGGTTTGAAATATTAATCAAAATTCTGTGCTTAATTCAGAGTTAAAGCTGTTACCAACCTCTCTGCCTCATCCTCAAACCCTGGGCTTCATTCAGGGTGGGAAGGCTGCAAGGGAAATGAACTCAATCACCTTTATTCCTCTGTCTTATTCCCAGTAACTGCCCTGCCAAGTCTCTTTCACTGGGCTGCTTGGGACCTTCCAGACATTGGTTATGGGGAAGGTACAGAAGGAGGACAGAAAAGGAAGACCTTTAACAGATGCAGATGCAGTGCAGTTAGGGTGTCCTTTGGAAGTAACCGATGCCCAGTGTTGATTTTTATCTCATTGGGAAGCTTATGTAGGTTCCTGTGAGACCCACAACAGTCTGCTGCTTCCGCATAATGCCACGGCCTGAGCACCCAGCAGGCCACCCTCTCTGGGGAGTCCACCTTTCCTGGGGAGTTTCCACAGGCAAGATCCTAAATCAGTGGTTCCCAACTTTTTTGGCATCCAGTACCAGTTTCAAGGAAGACAATTTTTCCACAGACAGGGGTGAGGGATGGTGGGTGCTTTGGGGATGATTCAAAAGAACATGCAACCTAGATCCCTGTCATGGGCAGGCAGTTGACCGCAGGGTTCATGTTCCTATGAAAAACTAATGTCTCCACTGACCTGATAGGAGGCAGGCCATGGGGCTCAGGTAAGGATGGCAGTGATGGGGATTGGCCCAGTTCCTAAAAGCCTACAGACTAATACCGGTCTGCAGCCCAGGGCTTGGGAACCCCTGTCCTAAATAACTCAGAGACAACTCCCTCCCATCTCAGTGTTCCAGGGAAAATCTCATGTATCCTTCCAGTGCATCTTCTTTCTTTCCCTACTCTTGGACCAGATCTCCCTACAGCTTCCCATACCCATCCTCACGCTGCCCAAATTCTAAGGGATACAGGTTCTCTGAAACTCCATCTCTCACTTGACCTGAGGTAAGCAAACAACATTCTCTTCAAAGAAATTCTTCCCCTCTTCCTCCTCCTCCTCCTAATTTTTCAATAACTTCCAGGCTATGTACTAGTTCTCAAGAGATGGACTAAAATCGAAAGATATGTAATATCTATTGTCAGCCTTTAAAGCTTCAGCCAAAATTGGAGGAGTCCTGTTTTAGCAATCTCTTCCAGATCCACAGGTTCAGAGAGCGGGCATGTATAAGATGTATGAAGAAAAACATTGAAGGACCCACCCTAGGTTATCATGAGCTCCTATTAGGAGTTTACTTGTCTGTGTCGTCACTGGAATGAAAATTTCAAGTCACAAGGAGGAAAGGGAAGAGGTCAAGTGTGGGGCACAGGAGGCCCCCCCCCCAAAAAAGTAAAGGCAGTGAGTTTGTACCAAATGTAAACAAGTGCACGATCATATTTAGTCATTTGTTTCTAAAACTACATAACATGGTCTGGCTACGTAATTTAAGGCTAATTTGGTGGCAATACTCCCAGGCATCCATATTGATTAAACAATGTCTTTTTGGTTTCTCCCAGATCACCTGAGTAACGGTGAGTGGTGAAGCCCTTTATAGAGCCTGGAGACTCGTGTTTCCTGGCTTCTTTTTCTTCTTTTTCCCCTGGGACAAGGCTGTAATAAATCCGATCCCAATCTGGGCAGTATCACCCCAGAATGTGTTGTTTTGTTTTGGTAGCGGGATCGAACTCGGGACCTTGCGCTTGCGAGGCAGGCGCCGGAACCTTTGAGCTAAATCCCCGCCCCTATCACCCCAGAACGACAAAGGAGTCAGAGTACCAGGCCAGGTTACCAGCTATTAGGTCCTCTGAATATTCAGGGTGTTTAGGAAGAATAAGGAAAACTGGGGGCCGACCACTGCGCCCCCTCCTGGAGTCTCACTTTCCACATCTCTACAAAGAGAGGAGGGACTGGCAGGCTCTCAGCCTCGGGCCCACAGAATCGGTTCTGCAGCTGGAGCTTTTGGCTTTTCCTCCAGTTCCTTCTCCGCATGCGTCTCACGCCCACTTTCCTCCCGTCACTCCCGGAAGTGCCCAATCCCGTCATTCCCTGCGCACCGCTGCTGGTCGTCAAGGAAACGAAGGCAGCCAATCCACGCAGCGATTCACGCGCTGTGGACTCGCTGCATCCCAGGTCACGGGGTGTACTCAGGAGGACTCCTGGGCGGCGACAGCGATGCTGAAGGCCAAGATCCTCTTCGTGGGTCCCTGCGAGGTGAGGCTGGACTTAGCGCGGCGGCGTGACCAACCAGCGGGGCCTAGATGAACACGAGGGTGTCCCCTGAGTCTGTGCCTTGTTCAAGCAGCCCCCCAGGAGATGACAGCCCGGTCCTAAAGCTGCCACCCCGGCGAGAGCCTTACAGGGAACTCCTTGATAATCAGTACTGTCCAAGGTGGACGAGAACCCGGTGTTTAGACGCCCGAAGGCCCACCATAGTGAGTGACACCCAGGAACTGGATCCTGGGTCTCCTGACTCACGCTTAGCCTGACCGGTTATCCTTAATGAGTGTCTGTGGGGCCAGAGAAACAAGAGGGAAAACTAGATTATTTATTATATAGTTTGGAAGGATTGGCTATTTGTGTGTGGCAGTGGTAGCCGGGCTTTCTATGTATATGTGCACTGCGTGTTGTACACAAAAATAAAATTCAGATGATCTAAAGCTAAATGTGGGGGGGGAAAACACAGTAGAAGTGACAGATGAGGAGTATTCTCCAACTTCAGCATGCTTCGAAATCACCTGGAGGGTGTGTTAAAACGTAGATGGCGGGTCCTACCCCAGAGTTTTTATTTCATAGCCCAGGATGGACCTGTGAATTGGATTTTCCTGATGCTATTGGTCTAGACCAGTGGTGGCGAACCTATGGCACGCTTGCCACAGCAGTGTGTTATCACTGAAAACTCTAAAAGGTTTGCCATCACTGGTCTAGAGTGATGGTGATGTTGCTGCACCATGGACCACAAATGGAGAACCATTACAGATTCATAGGTCAGTGTGGAAAGATGTGTTTTTATCTTGAGTTAGGGAAGATTTTCTTAAGCACAACACAAAAATGAAGACACCTTAGAAGAAATAACAGTGAAGTTAAAGCCTGGGGAAAGTATTTGCAAAATGCATTGCAAAGAAAGGATTCACAGGTAAAGTACACAGGAAATTTTAAAACACAGTAAACAGAAACAGTTCAATAGAAAATCAAGCAAAGGTACTACACACAATTAAAATTGGGAAATAAAATTATCCAGTAACTACATATAAGGAGTCACTGCACCTCATAGTCACAGGGACACTGATTAAAACAAAAAGATGGTATTTATTTGCCCACCAAATTAGATGAGGAAAGTTTAAGATTGATAATATGCAGTGTTAAGATGCATGTAGGAAAATTAATGTTCTGGAGTCCACTGCTAAGACTCTAAGCTAAAAATAACTTTTATGGAGAGCAAATTATTAAAAGTTACAATGTGCATCACTTTTGGTGCAGTAATCATTATTATAACTAAGTGCTTTTCTGTGTTCCTGAGTCATGTACAATAGTGAACAACTGGAAACTCCTTTGCTCACTAAGAAGAGAATATTTAGAAAGTAAGATACCTTCCTACTCTTCTTTTTTTTTTTTTGAGACAGGGTCTCATAATGTAGTTCAGGCTGGCCTCAAACTCATGGAGATCCTCCTGCCTCAGCTTCTGGAGTGCTGAGATTACAGGCATGAGCTACCACGCCGAGCAATACATTCCTTCTTTCAAAGAAGGTGCAGCAATTAAGCAAAATGAGGCAGGTCTGTGCACAGGGATACAGAAAGCTCTCCAAGACAAAATCTTAAGTGTGCAGAATTATAAATAACAAAACAAGTGTTGAATTTTTTTTTAAAATTCATAGAAATTCTCAAGTATATAGAGGAAAAAGAATGATGAGCTCCTGGTATGCATCACCCAGCATCAGCAATAAAATAAATTTCAGTTCTCTTCCCCCACTTTTCAACCGTACCAACTTTTCTATTCCTCTCACCTGTCTTCCAAAGCACCTAATCTTTCCACTTATGTAAGTTATTTAGAAACAGCACTTTTTGAATCTCTGTAAGGCATTGCTCCTGGAAAAGTATCCAAGCCCCAGAATCCATTCCTATAATGTCAGACCATTTGTTTCATTTATTCAGCCTAAAAGATAAATATGCATGAACTCTACAACATAATCACTTGCTATGTTCATTTTACATTATACGTAATTTGTATGGCTGCTTCTTCATGGAAAATTACTAAAATAGTATTGAGTCCCCACCCCCACTTTTATTTTTCTGATTCTGTCAATTGACCCCTCGAAGCCTCCTAAACTAGCATTAATCAAGATCATTCTAGCCAAGCAGCTGTGCCCAAAATAAAGTATCTGAGAGGCAGGCCATAATGAGAGAAGCTTTGTGTTTTATGTTTTTGTTTTATTTCAGTACTGGAGATTGAACTCAGGGCCTTTGCACTGAACTATATCCTCAGCCCTTCTGTTAATTTTTAAATTTTAATATTTATTTATTTATTTATTTATTTAAAATCACTAAGTTGCCTGGGTTGAGCTGGAACTTGGTATCCTCCTGTCCCAGCAGAGTGCTGGGATTACAGGCATGCACCACCACACTCAGTTTTGGGAGAAATTGTTATAAGCACCGAAGCTGAAGAGATTGCCTTTCTTTAGAGGTGACAAAAAACCCCACTTTGTTTTATAGTCAGACATATAAATTTGAATGAATGATACAAATATGTAGAAAAGATCTGAAAAACAGATCATAGCTTTGAGGAGGGAATGGAACAGATAAAGGGATGGTTTGAATGGAGAGATGAGGAAGGCTGTTTTGTCATTGTGCTGATATTTCACACAGGGATGTGTATTATGTATTACATAAGGAGAAACAGCTCTGTGGACCTGTGGCACAGCCAGGCGGGTATCCCCAGACCTGGCACTCAGCTCTGACTTTGATCCTTTGTGTGACCTTGAAGAACTCCTCTTTCCTCTCTGAGCCTCAGTGGCTTTGTACCTGTAACAGACTGGTTTCCTGAAGATATGGAGAGGAATAGGCGAGAGATACACTCATGATATTTTTTCTGTTCTAAGGTTCCATAGCTTAGAGCCAGGCAGGGAAATCAGTGTGGTTAAAGTCACCTCAGCAACAGAGCCAGGACCAGAATCCTATGTCCCCTGGGTCCCAGGCCAGGCTGTGCCCACCACTCTAGAGCAAGCCATCATTGGTATATGACCTGTACTGCACAACCCCAAGTTCCAAGCCACCTATGGGGAGGGATATTTTATGGTTTATCTTTCTGCTCTTCAGCAAAGACCTTTATTCACTCATTTTCACAGAGTGGAAAAACTGTTCTGGCCAACTTCCTGACGGAATCTTCCAACATCACCGAATACAACCCAACCCAAGGAGTGAGGTTAGCCTGCCCAATCTGTCCCAAAGAGTCACCAACTGTCACCCACCTTCCACTTTGTGGGGTTTTGGCATTCCCAGAGTGCTCCCAAAGTAGACGTTCTTCTACTGCTGTTTTATTTTTAGGATCCTGGAATTTGAGAACCCAAATGTCACCAGCAATGACAAGGGCACAGGGTGTGAGTTTGAGCTCTGGGACTGTGGCGGCAATGCTAAGTATGTTTCCTTTAAAGATCTGCTTTGTCCAGTGCCTGAAATATCAGGCCTGGGGATGTAGTTCAGCGGTAGAGTGTTTGCCTAGCATGCTTGAGGTCCTGGGTTCCATATCCAGCACCACAAAAGAAATTCAAATGAAATGAAATAAAATGCACAGTTAGAAACCAGGGTGACCTAACCCTGGCTCCGACTCCCTGCCTTGCAGATTTGAGTCCTGTTGGCCGGCCCTGATGAAGGACGCCCATGGAGTGGTGATTGTCTTCAATGCCGACATCCCAAGCCACCTGAAGGAAATCGAAACGTGGTATTCCTGTTTTGTCCAGCAGCAGTTCTTACAGGATTCCCAGTGCCTGCTGATTGCACATCACAAACCAGGCTCTGGAGGTGACATGGGGAGCCTGTCTTTGTGTAAGGAGACTGGGGTTTCCCTTCGCCTCTTGTCTCAGCATGTGGGGCACCCATGGGTTGCTCTGTGTCTTCGAGTCCATTAGCTGCATACAATCACTGAGCACCTGCTGTGTGTAGGCATGTGTCATTGTCACCACATCAATCAGAATTGCCAGGTCGGAAAAGACATCCAGGCCAGCATGTAGACACTTAACAGCAGACAGACCCCCAGAGAGGGGAAACCTGGTTTTAACCATTTATTGGTCCCACAGGGCACGTGCTTTCCTGACAGGCCTTGGCTCAAGAAAGCCTCCAAATCTTATGTGACACACATATGACAGAGGTGACAAAGTGATCCTAGAAAACAATTCAGAATATATTCAGAAACAAAACGAGAGTAGGAGAGAATCTCTTCCTGGGTTAAGAACAAAGAGGAAGGGCTAGGGATCCAGCCCAGTGGCAGAGCACTTGCCTAGTGTACATGAGGCCCCGGGTTTCATCCACAGCACCACAAAAACAAAACTCCAAGAGGACCCACAGGTGGCTGGCATAGTTCTTGTCCTGTTGCCAGGTAACATCATCATGAAACCCTTTTCTGCTGTGTCAAGCAAGACACAACTTTATTTCTGGACTTTAGAAAGTTAGACTAACAGGGCCGGGGATTTAGCTCAGTGGTTCCGGCGCCTGCCTCGCAAGCGCAAGGTCCCGAGTTTGATCCCTGGTACCAAAAAAAAAAAAAAAGAAAGTTAGATTAATGGGCTTCTAGAAGTCTCAGGTCATGGGGAGCTAGAAAGAGCCTAACCAACCTGATTCTCTCTCTTTAAGCACCACCATTGAACAAGCTGAAGCTGGTGCACTCGAATCTTGAGGATGAGCCTGAAGAGATCCGGATGGAATTCATGAAATATTTGAAAAATATCATCAGTTCCATGTCTGAGAGCAGAGACAGGGAGGAGATGTCAATCATCACCTAACAGCCTTCCCGGGGATGTCCACCTCTCCATGCACTCAGCTGCTTCCCAGCACAGAACTGAAATTGCATCCAACTACTCATGTTCTCCTCCCAGTGTGGCAACAGAAGAAATTGTCCTTTTCTCCTGGAAGGTAGCAGTCGGCCAGGAGTTGACTTATACTATCCTTAGTTCAAGTGGGAAAATCCTTTCACTGGGTTCTGATTCCCTGGGCCCAGGCCTTCCCAAAGATCTGGAAAATTGAGGGATCCCCTCCCTTTCACATATGTCAAATTATTAAAATTGTGGAATTGTAGCTCTCATAGCCCAAAGATAGAACAGCAGTTTAATCCAAGTGTATTGGTTTGGATATGATTTTTATTCCTTGATTCAGTCAACAAATTCCAACTACTATGAGCATCTACTATGATGTGTGAGGCACTATGCTAGCTGTGGACTGTATACAACTTGGTGAAACCAACAAAACCTTTGCCCCCATAGAGCCTCCATTCTGTTTTTCTAAATAATAGTGAGGTAGAGCCAGAAACTTGAGTAATGTACTATGTTTTAGTTAGGTTAAAAAAAAGAAAGAAAAAAAAAAGAAACAGCTAAGCAGCAGTTGGCTCATGCCTGTAATCCCCACACTCTGAGAGACTGAGGCAGGAGGATTGCAAGTTTGAGCCCAGCCTGAGCAACTTAGCAAGACCCTGACTTAAAAAATAAAAAAAGGCTGGTGATGTAGCTCAGTGTAAAGCCCCTGTGTTCAATTCCCAGTTTGACAACAACAACAAAGTAGTCCTCATTTTCTGTAACTGGTGTAAATCGCACATGCTCCCATCCCCCACATCTTGAAGGGACCTGAGATCCTCACATATTTTGTATTTGAGGATTGGCCTGCTTGTTAAAATGTATTGGTCTTCGCCAGATCCGTACTTGTGATGCTTTGTCAGTTGTTTGTAGATACACACAGAGTGGCCTAAAATTTCAATCCCCACAACCCCTGTGTTCCCAGCTGATGCCAGTACAGGGTTGCTCTGCTCTCTCGTTTCAGCTGTCACAAAGCAGTGGTCTACTTCTCATGTCTACTTTGTGCCACGTTTCTCAGCATTTTGTTAGTGATTTTACTGTGAAGTGGCCCCAAGCATCAGGCCAAGGTGCTGGCTAACCGACCTGAGTACCAGAGGGCTGTGCACAGGGCTCCTCGGGGACAGAATATTCAGTCAGATCAGCTTCACCCGAGCAGGAGTTACCGTGCTGCTGGCCATGAATTTGGGGATTATGACCCAACAGTTTATTTGAAATAAAGCATATTTGAAAAGAAACACATGAAACGGGTTACGTAACAATCAGTTGATGAAAATATTGTGACAGAGGCTGGCAGGAACTTAGCCCTATATTTCCTCTGAAAGCAATGCTCAGTATTACTAATTCATCGTTCTTGGTGACTTTATAGAACACAGCTACTGTGAATAACAAGAATCAGCTTATTTCAAGGCTTCCCTCACAGTTCTGGAGGCTGGAAGTCCAAAATCACTATTACCAGATCCAAATAAGATGCCACTGGGACCACACTCCCTCTGGAGGCTCCACGAGAGACTGTTTCTTGCCCCTTCCACCTTCTGGGGGCTCCTGTCATTTCCTTGGTTTGTGGTTGAATCACTGCAGCATCTCAAGTTTCTTTCCGTTCTGTCCCCATGTCACCTTCCCATGTCTATGTCTGTCTCAAATCTCCCTCTGTCTCTCTTTCTATTACAGCACCTTTGTAGTTGCGTTTGGGCTTCACACAGATAATCTCCTTGTTTAAAGACTCCTAACAATCACATCTGCAAAGAGCCTTCCAAATAAAGTAACAGTAACAGGTTCTAGGGATTAGGACATGATCTCTTTAGGGGCCATTATCCACCTACCACAAATGCCATTCACTGAGGCCTTAATAAAGGAGAAAGCCTATGTTTTAGGGAGAAGGTAACAAATGACTTGTTATCTTGCTTGTTATCTTGCTGTGTGACACTCACATAGATAACAAATGACTTGTTCAGGATGACCCAGCAAATTAGAGGAGAGGACAAGACTGGAGCTCTGCTATTTCCAAAATCTAACTGGGCAATTCCACCCGTGAACATGGCTAAAAGTCACCTCTGTTATGGTTTAACTTGAGAATATCCTGCCAAAGCCTGCTGTGTTCAAAAGTGGGGCTTTTGAAGGTGGATGGTGGTGCTATAGCTGACTTGCTGCTAGGAGGTGGAGCCTGGTTGGAGATGGACCCTGAGGGCATGGCCTGGAAGGGTGTATCCATCCAGACCCTTGCACCATATTGTTTCTGCCTTGGAGCCTGATAACTGGACTGAAAGCCTGAGCCAAAATAAACCTCTCCTCCTTTAAGTTGCGGGTGTCTGGCATTGTATCTCACCGAGGAGAAAGTAACTAAGACACACTCTGAGACTGAGACCCAGGTCTGAGAGCTCAGACCACAGAGCTATGGTTTGCATCTTAAATGTGTCCCAAAGTCCCTGTCTTGCTGCTGTTGGAAGGTGGTGGGAACCTTGAAGAGGTGGGTCCTCTCTGGGAGGTTTTAGTTCACTGGGGACATGCCTCCAAAGTGGATTGTGGGACGCTGATCTCTTTCTGTTTCTCATTTTCACTTCTCTACTGCCATGAGATAAGTCGATTTGCTCTACCCTGTTCCCCCAGCCATGATATGCCACCTCACCATAGACCCCAAACCAATGTGCCCAACATTCAATTGAATCCTCTAAGATCATGAGCCAAAAACAAACCTTTACTGATTTTAAGTTGGCTATCTCAGGTATTTTGTTACAGTAACAGAAAGCTAGCTAACACACCCTACAACAACAGTAGGGCAAATAAGGACCATATTAACTATATTTGAATCAGAGTTAGGGTGGCAATGGCTGGCAAGTGTGTTTCACATATAATTAACATCATAGTTCTTTGAACCAAGTCACAAGTAATGTTCTGAAGCTCTATCCATTGTGAAGAAAATGATGACTTATTCTCATGCACTATAACTTGAATGTCCCACATCTCAAAATTGGTCAGGCAAAGCCCCTTGAGATCATTATATTCTGTAAAGAACACTGGGAGGCCCTTATATCTCTAAGGGAGACTAAATCACTGGCAAAGAGTAGAGTTTTCCTGGCAATTCAGGACATGTAGGAACTCATTTAAAAAGTAGTACTCTTGATGCCCATTGAAAAGGCAAGTGTGTATCACTTCAGAAAACTGCTCTGAGACATGGTTCTTTTAGGGCTTGACTTCAGCTTTCCCCTGCCTAGTTATTAAGAATTATATGAATATTCTGGCCTTGGCTTATGTTTTCTCAACAAATGCACCTTTTCATTAGGAAAAAAAAGAAAAAATTTCATGTTTTAAAAACCAAAACCAAAGAAATTAAATAAATTATGGGGGAGGAAACTCTGCTTTTAAATGTTAAGAACAGACTACATACTTTTGATATGACTTCTATCTAAACTGTGTTATCAGTTGAAGAATTCTCTACATTGGTGATATAGAGCATTCTTCCTACTGAAGTTAAAAGCCAGTGGAAATGCTCTGTGTGCCAACTATTTCCACTTCAAAGGGAAAGTTCCTGATGCTTTGAAGTGAGCAACACATCATTTATCTTTCTGTATTCTTTTTTGTTTTTTGTTTTTCGTGGGGGTTTTTTTGGCACCGGGGATCGAACTTGGGACCTTGCGCTTGCGAGGCAGGTGCTGGAAGCACTGAGCTAAATCCCTGGTCCTATCTATCTTTCTGTATTCTAATAATTCATTCTTATCTAGGCCTTGGGTAGGCTTTATCCTGTCTCAAGGCTCAGTGCAGATTTACTCTTTGGATTAGGACTAATTGTAGATGTTAGACATTCAAAGTGTTGTGTGTATAAATTTAACCCATTTCTTACATTTAGAGTCAATAAAGGTTTGTGATACCGAACCCCTCTTCTAAGAACTGAACCCAGAATCTCCTCCAGCTTAGGCAAGCACTCCGCCACTGAGCTACACCCACAGCTCTTTATTCTCTTCAACACAAGGTCTAGCTGAATTGTCCAGGCTAGCCTCAAACACGTTTCCTCCTGCCTTGGCCTCCCAATCAGCTGGGATTACAAGCGTGTACCGCCACTTCTAACATAGGTATCTCTTGCAAATTCAGTCATTGGGAATTTATCATTCTTTTTGGGGTGTGACTGTTAAAGCAGGAAATTGAGCTCTGCACTTTAAAACCTGAATGGCTTTAAGGAATCAATCACAAGGTGAGAAACAATTTGTAATTCTTCTGTATGAGAATAGAGACCGTAGATAAAGGTCTAATATATACGCCAGTCTAGGACTGTTAACTTGATTCTGTTAGACACTGAAGAGCCTTAAGCAGAGCAGGGACAGATTACTTTAGTGAGAGTATGTAGAATACAGTTATCAGGAAGACGACTGAGGACAAGCTAATCAGATACAGGCTCCATTTAGGAAAAGTACAAAGTCTGAAATGCAGAATGAAGGTGAATGAGGGTGAGCATGGAATGAAAGAGACAGCTTTTTTAAATATGTAGGAGGCAAAATCTATGTCTGAGTGTTCAAGATGGGAGTGGAAGAGTTGGGTCCCCTGTCTGTGTGTCTGGCTGAAAGCAAGTGCTAGAGGTTGTGGTGGGTAATCAATGACTACATTTCCCATAGTACTTGGGGCAGTGTCTCATGCACTTCCTAGAGGGCTGTGCGCCACTCGCGCAGGCTCTCAGCATCCATAGAAACAGAAAAGGTAAATTAGGGGACATGCCCTCCGACGTTGCTTTATAAGCAAAATAACCATCCTGTCTTTCTCTATACTTCTTCTCTGACTCCTGCTCCTCTATTCCCCGGGGCTTCAGCGGCCCAAAAACACTGAGACTGGTCTCTATGGGAACACGTTGAACGCAACCGGAAGTAACGCGTCCCGGAGCATTCTGGGAGATGTAGTTTGGCCTACCTACAGACTGGTCAAATTTTCCGGCCTCTGCCCTCCACAGGTAAGAGTTCGCGGGGGGAGAGCGTAAACAGCCAGTTTTGAAGCCATGCAGGTGGCCACGCCACGCCAATCTGCGCACGGCAACTTGGAGGCTCAAACCACCAACGATCGCAATGCTGCGTCGCGAGCCAGGCCGGTCTCCGCGGTAACCGGTTTGCCGCTGAGGACTCTGGGAGTTGTAGTTGGGAGGAAGCCGGCTGCGCTCCAGGACGGCCGAGCCGCTGCTCGTTAGCGTTGGCCTCTGCAGGCCACAGGCGGGCTCCGCGGACAGGGCGAGCAGTCCGACTCGCCCTTCAGACGGTGAGCATTTTCTGGCGTACGGTAAACCACCTCTTGGGCTACCGCGGCCTCTAACCCCGAGTTGGATGCGAGAGTGGCCGGTCCCCAGGGACCCGCGAGGGGGCGGTGACCGCCACGGAAAGGAGGGGTGTTGCTGTAGCCCCGCCTCGGCGCCAGCCGGGTCCCACCAACAATCCCAGTACTCTGGGAGGCTGAAGCAGGAGGATCACAAGTTTGAGCCCAGTCTGGCCAATTTAGCGACATACCAAGACCCTGCCTCAAAAATTTAAAAAGAGATTAAGGCTCAGTGCAAAGGTTCTGAGTTCAATCCCTAGTACCACACAAAAGAATTTAAAAATAAAGAAAAAGAGCCATAGAGACACATAATGCACTTGTTAGTGCGGGAAGGCCCTGGGTTCAGTTCCCAGTACTGCAAAAAGAGGGTGGGAAAACAGTGTTGGAGAGGGAAGGGGAGCCTATAGGTGAAAGTAAATTAGTGTCCAGTTGCTGATCATTGTTGGAGCTGGCCATGTTACATCCACAGAGGTGACTAAACTATTGTGCACATTTGAATTCTGTTTGATGTAAATTATTATTTTAATCCTTCTCTGCTAGAGATGCGCAGTAGGTTATTCATCAGGGGAACAAAGGTATAGTATCTGACATTTGCTTTAAAATATTCCATCTGTAGCCAGGGGGATACAAGGGTGGCAGCAAGTGAATTCTTACTGGAGCTGGGTGAAGGGTGTGAGAGTTTGTTGTGCTATTGTAATCTCCCTACTTTAGTGGGACTGAAGATTTCCAAAATCAAGTGTTTTTTAATTTTAAAAAATATATTGAGAGGCTGGGGATTTAGCTCAGTGATTCCACTGCCTGCCTCGAAAGCAGAAGGTCCCGAGTTCGATTCCCAGTACCAAAGCAAAAACAAAACAAACAAAAAAGAGTATGGCCTCAAAAAATATATTCAGTGTGATTCAAGAAGTCTGCAAAATACTGGAGCTCATGAGGCATTTCTGTGAAACGTGACCATCCTGTGGCACAAGCACGCCTCTCTGGGGACTCTCACAGTCAAGAGTGGCAGCAGCAATGAGAGGGGCCATGTCCCTGATCCCCTGGGTTCCTTGAATGCAGGACAGAATTCTGACAGTGAAGGTGGAAGAACAGGACCATTGTGGGAAGGGACTCTGCCCGGGAATCACCCAGCAGCAGAATGCCCTTGGCATTCCATTTAGCGTGCTCTGCCCAGGTGGCTGAGCCCAGAGAGGCACAGCAAGGAGCCCAGGGGGGAGCTCTGGCGCAGGAGTGCAGCCTGGGCATGAAAGGTGTGGCATTCCTGCTAGAGGATGACAGAGAGAGAAGTCAGTGACACAGAACCCTGGGGAGGAGAAGAGCTGATCTGGGAAAACAGGGACAGTATGGGCTTCCAAAGAAAACTAACACCAGATCAGTTTTGACCCAACACCTTTTTTCTCTTAGCTCTTGTACATTTGATTCAGTTCTCATCTAATTCAGTTTGCAGCCAGAATCACAGAAACAATTAAGTTCGTGACCCAGAGGACCACTGTAGTTTATCTTGGGGCATAAATCAGTCATTGGATGATCTCCAGACCTGGGGGGGGGGGTTCCCCACCTCTTGATTTCATTTCATCTGAGTGGGCTTCCTTGAGGTCATTATTTAAACCAATTTTAGCCATTTTCTACAGAAAAATACATATTCACCTTTCCCGGTACAGATTTAAGTGCAGGTTTTCTATCTTGGGGTTTTGTTTTTTGCAATTACTGGGGATGGAACTAGGGCCTTGCACATGCTAGCAAGCTCTCTACCACCGAGCTATACCCCCAGCCCTTTATTTTATTTTGAGACAAGGTCTTGCTAAAATGGGATTGCAGGCCTGTGCCACTGAGGTTGCATGTTTCCTGCCCAACTCCAAACTGCCACACCTCCTTATCTATTAATGTTCTTGACATTTCTGTCTACAGTACTGAGCCTTCTTGCTGAAAGACACAGTCCCCAAGGCCCTGAGGCTTGTTATCTTTCTACACTATGTTCTTAGCAGAACTGTTATCTCTGGGGACACAAATCCAAA